GTAGTTTGTCCGCATGAGGGAAGATACCACACCTTGATTCCAGCTCTTTGCCTGTGTAGTGATTATTTACTAAGGAAGGATTTGACACAAGGTGTTTTATTTTTTTTTAACGTGGGGAACCCATACTCATGAATATGCATACAGGCCATAGACAAAAATTGCACAGACCCCGTGACCACTGTCACGCTGGCATCGCTAACCCCAACCCTGCAGTGAGGGGAAGGTGTTGATTTGAAAGACTGTCGTGGACAGACGTATGGCACTGCCTCAACAACGACTGGGAAGGTGTCCGGGGTCCAGAAACGAATATCAGAGAGAAACTCGGAAAGCAGTCTTTGTGAACTGTGATAACCATTCTTTGAATCTCTTAAGAGTGCATTCAGCATCGGAACACGTTTGATAACCGAAGTCACTTGGGATGGGTTGTGTAGTCGGAGATGGTAGGGACTGAATAATTCTGAATATCACTTCTGAACGGCAGTGTTGGGGGTAAAGGCTCTTTTAAATGGCGATCTAACTACTCTATTTCTGGGGACTTAACAAGAAATTAGAGTTGAAATACTAGTTACAAAAGATAAAGTCAGCCAAATGAATAACAACCTTCGCAAGATATATATATATATATATATATATACATATATATATATATTGCATGAGAAATTTCAAAACAACGACAAACTCGTGTATACGAGACGCGGAAATTTTTCATGCAACAAAAACAGACTATCATTATTGTTTCGTCCGTGTATTGGTTGATATATTGAAAAGTAATTGTCATCTTTGATAATGGCTTATGTAAGCCGAAAGCTTAAATTGGATTTAAACATGTATCAATATGGTGATTTCCTTTCGTCTTTCAATGATAATGTTATTAATCTTATCGGACAATATGAAAGGAACTTACTTAAAATAAATAGACAAAACTTGTCTATATTATTTAATGAAACATGCATCAATGAAAAATTGCTGCCTAAATATACACAATATATCAAGGACACATGGCACCGTGGATAAAGGCGTTGGTTAGATCCAGTGACAGGACCCAAAGAGTGTGAGTTCAATACCCGGTTAAGGCAGTGGAGAACTTTCAGAGGGAAATTAGCAGGAGATAACTGATAACTGACATCCATCAAACATGGCACGTGGAACTAGAACAGTTTACCCCAGTGAGCGAAATAAAGGGTTCATTTCGAAATTCCAACCACCTGAAGAAATGTTGTGATAAATATGGCGACAAAGATGAGGACAATAGTCCGAATAATATATATATATATATATATATATATATATATTCATAAATTTTCGCTTGAAGATGAAACGGGACTCAACACCTTGATTCAACTTAATTTTAATAATTATATTGATGGTTTCGGCTCTCGTTTTTGAAACATGAGAACTCTTATGTAGCGAAGGAATCATATTTTTTAAAATATTATAATATATATATATATATATATATATATATATATATATATAGTTAAGTTACGAAGAACTTGGTAAACCGAATGGGTAATTCCAAGTTAACCATCTAAATAGGTCACGGTTCGGTCACTCCTCCTACCTCAATATAAAGCATGCTTAAGAGAGATATGAAATTAACCCCTCCCTATACTCTACCTTGTCTCTTTAACTACAACTATCACCCCCCCCTGTTAAATTATAAAAATTACACTACCCATCAATTTCTAATCCTATTTTTCCTTTCATTTCGTTGTTGGAACTGCTACCTGATGATCCGGAGTCCTTTAAAAAGGATTTTGGTGAAATAAATTATTGTAATAATACCTTAAAGTGGTCTGTTTTTCATATATATATATATATATATATATATATATATATATATATATTTGGGCAGCGATCCCTCTTTCATTAAAGACCGCCGACATTATATTGCGATTAAGGTATTGAGAGTTTTCTTTCCTGGACATAAAGGAAAAAAATTCTACAGATGTTCTGTGTTGCATGGACCGAGCACCCCCTCTCATTTTAAATGAGGAGAGAAGAGGTACTTCTTTTTGGCCCCAAATGTCCAGGAAGTGTGCGTAGTTTAGTGCGGCGCACCCGGTGAGGATCGTACTTACTACTCAGTCGTGATCGATGTAATGCGACAAGCTGGCGAACAATTATACTTCATCGAATCTTAACCCTAACTCTAACCCAGCCCAATTGTATATTTATCCTTTGCAAATATATATCCGTCACCAAAATTTGCTGGATAATAGAATAATCTAGAATCTATACTAACAGGAAGCCGCTTTTGCATGCGCACAGAAAATGAGTTCAGCAGATATACAAAAATAGAAAGAGATGTAAGGCAAGGTTGTGTCGTCTTACCGGACTTATTTAATTTATACAGCGAGGCAATTCTGAGAGAACCGGAAATCTTACCAGGATTCATTACTGGCCGATATAATATTAACAAAATAAGATATGCAGATGACACAGTGTTGGTAGCAAACGCAGAAAAGAAACTACATTCATTCCTTTAGAATGCAGTAAAAGAGAACGAGAAAAATAATTAAATCGTCATCGAGTTGCTTCATGTGGCTTTTCGATAAATACTTTCATGGTAATTGTTCAGAAGAGATCTTGAATTTATGAATTTAAGCGTAGTACTAGACAGGTAGGGATTAATGAATAGCGGATCGGATTGAGGAATCGCAGAGCCGGGTTCGAATCCCAGTCGAATCCATTACATTCACTTACGTGCTAATATCCTTGGGAAAGGTATTAATCTTTTTCTTCTCCATCCAGCTATTATTAGAATAATCAAGAATGAAACCGCTTTCATATAGAGAGAATAAAAGTTCAGTAAATATAAAAAAAAACCCGAAAAAAAAAAAACAAAAAACCCAAAACAACACAGAACAATAAGTTACAAAACAATTAACAAGACAACTTACAAGGAATAGATGGGGGTCTAATGCTGTATAGCCAAATGAAGTAAGATCAATTCGAATATTAACCAGCTTAGTATCACCTTATTAATCAACTGTTGAAGTCCTTAATCGTAGGCTATTTAAGGCTATGAGGCAGGCCATCTGGTAGAGTGCTGAAGAGGTGCTAGCTACTCTAGAACAGTTTTACAATTTTCAAAGAAAAAGGAATATCTTAGAAAATAGATTTTTGTTTCTGTAATTGACAGTAACAATTCACTGCAACATATCTCAAAGCCGCTTAACAGTCATTCGAAAATTCCCATTACGTATCATTAATACGTCTTAATGATGCAATTGCATTATTTGAATCACGACAGTCATTTGTTAAGTGGGGTAAGACGAAACTATATAACATGTTAACTTATCTACCGATTCCTTCAAATGACAAGTAGGCGATCATGGCTCTCCAAAATATCCTTGATATATTTGGAAAAGATATTAGAATAATCAGGAATGAAACCGCCTTCATTATAAATAGAATGAAAGTTCAGTAGATATAAAAAAAATTAAAAAAAAAAGAAAGAAAGGCGTGTAAGCCTCGGATGCGTCTTCTTACCGGACTTATTCAACCTAAACAGTGAGACGATTCTGAGAGAACTAGAAGTTCTATCAGGATTCATTATTGGCGGCCACAATCTTAACAACACGAGATATGCAGATGACACAGTGTTGATAGCAGACAGGGAAAAAAAACCAAAAAACTTCTACAGATGGTAATGAAAAAAAGCCTGAAAAATTAATCCAACATACATTGTTTTCTTTAATAATCACAACTTGATGAACAAAGATTTTATTTCGAACAATGTTGTTTTAGTATCAGTAAAATATTAAGTAAGAATGCATATAGAATTTATTACGTTAACGGACACAATCTTAACGGTATATGATATGCAAATGACAGAGTGTCGATAGAAGACACAGAAAGAAACCTACAAAAAATTCCTACAGAAGGTAGTGAATGAAAGCGAAAAGAAAGGATTAAACATCAACTGCAAGAAGACAAAATCCACGGTTGTTAGCAAAATGGGTGAGCCCAAAGTGCGAATTGCAAATCGGAAATACCAAAATCAAACAAGTGCGGAAATTTAAATATCTGGGAAGTGTTCTTAACAGAGGACGGAAAGAGCGACACTGAGATCCAAAGGCGTATTGGGATGGTCAAAGATACAACCCAAAAGCTAAGCAAAGTATTATGAAACAGAAAAAAAAAAAACTTCGTTAGAAACAAAGAGAAAAGTACTGAACTGTTTCATGATATCAGTCCTCCCATATGACAGAGACAATCTCCTCAAAGATCAAAGAAGAGACTCGAAGAAACAGAAATATGGTTCTAAAGAACCTAGGATACTATGGAGCGAATATGTGAGTAACGACGAAGTTTTAGAGAATATAAAAACAAAAATGAAAGATACTTAACATCAGGAAAAGGAAGTTGAAATGTCTATGGTACATAATGAGGAAAGAGGGCTTGGAATATCTGATACTCGCAAGACAGATTAAATGCAAGAGGGACAGAGGAAAACAACGCAAAAAATACTTAGTGAGATTGAGTAAATAGATGAGGGAAGAAGGTTTGGAGAAATAAGAAAAAGATCAAATTTATTAAGAGCTACGAAGAGCAGGAAATTGTGGAGATCCATGAACGCTTACGCCATGAAGGGACTCAGCAAATAAAGAACAACAATAAAATCTGATAAACTTGCACAATAAAATCGACACAGTGTAAGTCGTTAATCATAGCGGGTAACACAAGTGCTCTTTGGGTAATTCTCTCATACAAAGATAACCTTATCAAATTCGATTTGTGTCTAGAGATCAAGAGGGTTCAAAATCCGTTCTTCTGACTTCGGTATAATCAGTAAATAAAAACAAAATATTGACCTTCCTTTAAGATATCTTGCTAAAAATGCCAAATATGGTTAGGTTCGCCATACGTGACCATATATGGCGTTGCCTGATGCGAATATAAAATCAATGAAGATAGCGTCCGCATCTCAATTTAGCGTTGGGTCTCATTAAAGTTTCAGCTGACTGGTCTTGTTTCGGAGTTCTTATAAAACTATGGATGACAACGAAGTAGCTGCTTTGGTTATTGACAATGGATCTGGAATGTGTAAAGCTGGATTTGCCGGGGATGACGCTCCTCGAGCCGTTTTTCCTTCCATTGTCGGCCGACCAAGGCATCAAGTAAGTGTTTTTAAAATTTTCGATTAATTCTCTACAACTGACAATCTATTTCTTCCTGATTTTCTATGCATTTCTAGCGAAAAATAGTTGCCAAATCATAAGAATTAGAAATGTATTTAATATATATATATATATATATATATATATATATATATATATATATATATATTTAAGCATTTCACCCCGAATTTGCAGGCAGGGAAGCCACTAGGACGCAAGGGGTTACAGAAAATTTAGAAATTCAGATCAGATAGGAAATATATATTATAAATATTATATATATATATATATATATATATATATATATTATAAATTAATTGATTTAAAATATGTTTTTTTTGCTACACAGTTCTAACCATGTTTCATTAAATTAAAGACATTAAACCAATTTCATCCTCGCTTGAGGATGAAATGGAACTAATTATCTTTAATTTAATTATAAAATTAAATTCGGGGCTTTTAGCTTCCGTTTTTTCTTTAGGTTAGAACTGTGTAAAAAAACATATTTTAAATCAATTAATTTATAAAATACTAATGCTCTGTAAATTTACATCACTCAACTATTTTGTAAAAATAAAATATCTATAAGAACACCAGATTATATATCTTACTGTTCTTTCTTTTTATTTATATACGTATATATATATATATATATATATATATATATATATATATATATATATATATAAGCTTAAGGCCGCTCTATAGAGCAGCATTTAACGTAGCTCCTTTGGAGGACTCTTGATTGGGCCTTCATCACAATAGGTAGGGAGTAGTAGATGTGATAGAAAATAATAAACTACAGAAGAACTCAAAATTGATTGATGCATTCAAGCATTTCAATAATATTTAAGTTTACTTCTTAAAAGTTCAATGATAATTCTTCTGCCGCCATTTAATTTAAAGACAGTTTGATGTACATATGTCCTTACTTTCGGTACAAAAATTATTTTTTATTTCATGGGTGACTTTCGCTGGATTTAGCATATCATTTCGATTATTCCCAAATTTATTTCCGAGTTGTAAAAATTGTTATCGTACAAAAAAAAAAAAAAAAAAATTTACTAATCTTAAGAAGACCCTTCTAGAATTGAAGCACGTTTCTTAGAAGTTTTCCATTTTCTCATTCGATCATCCATTATAGTAAGATATCTAAAAGAAAGATAAAATAAGATCCTAAAATGTCGAAACCAAGCCATGTGCTTCAAAGAATTAGACAACAGTTGCCTCATCTATCGATACACAAGTCTTAAGGATTTCTTGTCAAAGCTCATTATTTTCATTACAAAAGCGATGTCTATATTTCTGTGTATGTTTGCATCAAATGTACACTCCCACAGACAAAACTACCAGTTTTTTTCAGCATTTTCATAGATTTCATATATTAAGCAAGTATGTAAAAATAAAACTTTCATTTGTTTTAGTAAATTAAATATACTAATGACAGAAAATTTTGGAAATAGAAAGGCATCTGAACTTAGTATGTGTGGGCGAGATTTCAGCTTTACTTGTTCTGACCCACTTACATTACTGCCACTCCTTACCGCTTAGCTTGAATCATTTTCTGTTCAATTAAACTCAATAATTTTTTTTGCAGATTAAAAGATGAAATTTTGTAGTTTATATCCAACGTCTTTCGCACACTTCAACACACGGATTTTTGCATTAAGATTTCAGGAAAAGAGACTATCAGTGGTCAGTAAGTAAAGCAAACTTTACTAACAGAACCGGACTGTCATATATATATATATATATATATATATATATATATATATATATATATTAAATTTTTAAATGCCGACCTATCAGGGGGCTCCTGTGGGCGGCACTTGATCGGGACATCATCACAATTGGTAGGGAGGAGTAGATGTGATAAGCAATAAGTTACAGAAGAAGTCAAAATTGATCGCTGCATTTAAGTATTGCATTTATATTTAAGATTATGTTTTAAAAGTTCAACGATAATTCTTTTATCGACACTTAATTGAAAAACAATTTGGTGTACGTGGGTCGTTCTGACCCACTTTATTTATTCTGATCGACTTACATATTGTGTTGTTGTTTTTTTTATAAAGTGTCTCTTTTATGTTCATATAATATTTTATTTAAATTTTTTCAGCTTTCACCAGTATATTTTGTAACTTTGTTGCACTCCTTGCGACTCATAATATATATATATATATATATATATATATATATATATATAATGATTTATATATTATGCGCGGTACTTATTAGAAAGCGCTCAATATCAGAGATAGAACTAACATATTTGGTTGGATTGATGTGAGTTTGTGACTCCGAGTTTCACGCTCTCTGCGATCGTCAGACAAACTGATTAATTCTTAACTTTTGGATTTATATATGGCTTCGTATGTCGGTGTTTTTATGGTAGTGGAAGGAAAAATTGCTGTCGGAACGACACTCATACTTACGCAGACATACATACATGCACTTTCACTCATTGACGTACGCAGACATACATATACGCACACTCACTCACTGGAGCTCACGCAAACATAAACATATATGAACAGTGTGGCACCGGGTATATATGCGCATCCATGTGTCGTTGCGTATATACTTACGCAATTAGTCGCTGTATTCAATGTTCGATTGTGTAGCGAACACACACACATATATATATATATATATATATATATATATATATATATATATATATATATAAAAAGTTTCAAATTGAAAAATAATAATGTTTTATTTTATGAAAGTATTTATTTATTTATATATATATTTGATATTTCAAATTGTCCTCAATTTTTCCTCAGAAATAACTGTTTGTTACAAATAAATTAAAATTACTGTTTGTTAGCAAGTAGCGTCCTTCGCGAGACGCGGACGTCACGTGATATGGAACGTCACTGTTCGGATATTCCTAACTTAAATCTAACTGCCATAAATATTTTAAATGTTGTTTAAAATATGTTTTAACTATATCTAAAAAAATGCTTAACTATTGAAATATTTATTAAGATTTAAAACACCCAAGTCCCTATTCAACCCTAGTCTATGAGTATTTAATTTTAAAATCCAATATGTTTCTTTTTTCTGCGTGTGTATGTGGAACTAAAATCGGAATCTATCAATAAACATTTGCAGTTTTCTAATGTGTGTCCTGATTGATTGAAGTGTTTAGCTATGGGGGAATAAGGGTTGTTTTGACGTATGGTTGTTTTGACGTATGGTTTGTTTATGGTTATTGAAACGAAATCGAAGGACGCTACTTGCTAACAAACAGTAATTTTAATTTATTTGTAACAAACAGTTATTTCTGATGAAAGATTGAGGACAATTTGAAATATCAAATATATATATAAATAAATAAATACTTTCATAAAATAAAACATTATTATTTTTTCAATTTGAAACTTTTTCTATATATACATAAAAAAATATACGTGGCTTCTCATTATATATATATATATATATATATATATATATATATATATATATATATATTTTTTTTTTTATACATACGTGTGTTAGCACGTGCGATACCCTGTCTTCATCAGCCGCCGACCAGGGGTGATCTCACGGTTTCGGTGGCTATGGCGGGACCGCCACCCCAGGCGCCACCAGCAGCATTTGCCACCAGGCAGGGTATAAAAAAAAAAAAAAAAAAAATAATTGATCGTTCCTCTTTGCAAATTCTTAATGAAATAAATAAAACGATTGTTCCTCTTTGCAGCTTCTGTCCGTAATGAAAGTTCCTGAAAGCGTTTGCTGTTATTGACGCGCTCGTAAAAATCGTTATAAACGGCTATGCAAATATTTCACCTGCGCATGTTAGGTCGTGATGATGCGCGCATAATATTTCAGTAATGTTTGATCGTAACTTTCCTTTCTAAATTTGTCGTCGATTTGGTCGTTTTTCCTCTTTCTATCTTTCCTCTCGATTACTGGTTCAAATCACTCAAAGCAAACGTCGTATATTATTCTACAAAACGAACTGATCTTTTGCCCTATGTGACCCTTAAGATTGTTATTAAGGATAAAAGAATGCTCTTTGTCAAGATTAGTCCAAACAGTCTTCTGGTTACCTTTTTCCACTGTATTCTTGGTTTTACTTGGGATTTCTCCAGGGTGCTGTCGCTCAACGATGGAATCCTGAACGCTGTGGGTGAATTCCAGATTCATAATCCCATCACTCGATTTACATTCTCCAATAGGAGAATTACGTTGTTTGCACCAGCGTGCCTTATGGATACGTAAACCGTATATATATATATATATATATATATATATATATATATATATATATATATATATATAATTAAATGAATTCATTCATAAAAAAACAAATATAGAGGTTAATGATTTAAATGGCGAGAATACATCTTCGCAAACAATTTCAATAAGGTACACTAACCCCGAACCTGTATATTTAAATCATTAAACTCTATATTTGTTTTTTGTATGAATGATTCATGTAATTATAAATTGAACTGCACCTATAATCGAAATTAATATATATATATATATATATATATATATATATATATATATATATATATATATATATATACGTACCTCCAAAGAAAACGATACCTAAGGTTTAAAATGCATTTTTTTAAAATCAAAACACTTTCTTGAAGCTTTTATTTTAGTTTTAATTTCAAGCTGCTATTTTAATATTTCCAGTAAGCAAAATAAATTTCTGTATTTCAAACTGAATTCAAATTGACTGGAATTATTTTTTTAATCGGTAAAAACGTTAAAGCGTTTTTATTAAAAAAAACTTTCTAAAATAAAATATACTTTATTAGAAGTTTAGCTGATTTAAAGTATAATGCGATTTGAAACGAATATTACTTTGAGTTAAAAATATCGCAGAAAATCATTTTGTAAAACGGAGGTGAGAGATTTTATAAGGTGTTGGCAATCATCTCAACAGACTTATGTTTAGGAATTTTTGCAAGATTTTCTTAGAATCTTGCGTTTGAACGTTCCTATTTACAAAAATTGTCACGTTTATACGTACATAAAATAACTCCAAAATTCTTTTAAATTAAAATATTGTGGATCGTTAAAATGTAGTAAGCTTTTCCATTTATTATTAGTAAATGCAGTCTTAATTTAACGAAAATATCACTTGACTGCTACAAATTAATACAGAATTTTAAAAGATTTAAAAATTCATAAATTATTCGAATTAAAACTTAAAAAAAATGAAAACCAATTCTTGTGAAAATTCATTATTCATCAAAAATTCTTGTGGACAATAGAGTCCAGAATATATTTTCGATAAAAACTTTTCTAATTAAATAATGTATTAGCTTTATTTTAGAGCAGATTTTCTGTAAGTGGTGGGGTGGTCTTGTTTGACCAAAAAGTTTCATGATTTAAATTTGTTGTAACCTAGTAAGTGTTACTAAATGAGGAATAACAAAAACGGAGGTTGGAAATGAAATGCTAATCTTTACAACATCAACAAAATACAATACTCGCCAGCGGCGTGAAGTAGGTAAACCACTGCTAGTGGTGGACTAATTAGACAGCATTATTACCCCCGCTTACAATAGTGTCCAACCTATAATGAGGATTGGGATATATGTATTAGTGTTCATAGGTAAGGTATATAACACAATTCTTTGTGGATTTGTCCTTATAAATAATAATAAACATTAAGCACCACAAAAAAGAATTTCTCGAAATGTCATAAGATTAAATAAGTGGGGATTAACAAATATAAATAAATAAATATTTTTACGAAGATTTTCTAAAAGAGAGACGTTTCTAAAATAATTTAATTCCTTTGTGAGTAAGTCGTGGAATTTTGATTAAAATCCAGCAATTATTTGATTGTTGCTAGAATTTCCCAAATCAGTGTTTCGCACCGGAAAAAGACGCTGCAATTTCCCAGACTAAATTATGGTCACGCGTTGATGCAAGAAAAACAACATTTTTTTTTACCAAAATTCCGAAGGTTCTAAAAATGATCAAAGATATTATTTAATAATTAAAAAAATTCTTTGGTCTTTCCTCTTAACAATAACATCAGGATTTTGACGATAAATCTTTGTTTTTATTACGTTTGGGCTTTTTTTCATCATGGTATTCTCATTTTTTAGCGAATCTTTGGAGGCAAAATATTATTATTATTATTATTATTATTATTATTGCATATGCGATAAACCCCTTCAGGAAGAGAAAGTCCTTTTGGTCCGAAGTGAGTTAGTAAATTAGTTTTGTAAAAAGGCATGAAACAATTAATGGTTTGGTAATTCTTCGAAATCTAGAGAGTGTTTTCAAACTTTTAGTCTATTATGTTCGCTGTAAATTGGTTGGAATGAAATCTAAATGAAGTTAATTCTTAAACAATATCGACGAGCATTATTCATGTACTCATTCGTCCATTATACTAATCTGTCTGCTCTATCTTTCTTTCCATCTCGACCTGTTAATGTTTCTCTGAGGCTATCGATCTATTAATAGCTATCTTTAATTTCTTGATTGCAGGGTGTCATGGTGGGCATGGGACAGAAGGACAGCTATGTTGGTGACGAGGCTCAAAGTAAACGTGGCATTTTGACGCTGAAGTATCCGATTGAACACGGCATCGTTACAAACTGGGATGACATGGAGAAAATATGGCATCATACCTTTTATAACGAGCTTCGTGTTGCTCCAGAAGAACACCCGGTCCTTCTCACAGAGGCCCCGTTAAACCCGAAAGCCAACCGTGAAAAGATGACGCAAATCATGTTTGAAACCTTCAATACTCCGGCAATGTATGTCGCTATTCAAGCAGTGCTCTCTCTTTATGCTTCGGGTCGGACCACGGGAATTGTTCTCGACTCAGGAGATGGAGTCAGCCATACCGTCCCAATTTATGAGGGCTACGCCTTACCTCATGCAATCCAAAGGCTGGATTTGGCCGGTCGTGATCTGACTGATTACCTCATGAAAATTCTCACTGAACGGGGTTATAGTTTTACGACGACCGCTGAACGAGAAATAGTCCGTGACATCAAGGAAAAACTGTGTTACGTGGCCCTTGATTTCGACCAAGAGATGACAACTTCGGAACAATCTTCGTCGGTGGAGAAAAGTTACGAATTACCTGATGGTCAAGTTATCACGATTAGCAATGAACGTTTTCGATGTCCGGAGGCTTTGTTTCAACCTTCACTTCTCGGCATGGAAGCGTGTGGTATCGCGGAAACAACATACAACTCGATCATGAAATGTGACGTCGACATCCGAAAAGACCTGTACTCGAACACCGTCCTGTCCGGTGGTACGACAATGTATCCGGGAATTGCTGATAGAATGCAAAAAGAAGTTTCAGGCTTTGCTCCCAAGACAATGAAGATTAAAGTGATTGCACCACCGGAAAGAAAATATTCTGTTTGGATTGGCGGGTCCATTTTAGCGTCTCTTTCCACGTTTCAGCAAATGTGGATTAGTAAGCAAGAGTATGACGAATCTGGACCGGGAATCGTTCACAGAAAATGTTTTTAGTCTTTACTGAAAAATTAAAATCAACTTATCAGCCGAACTATTCTACAGCCTTCTCTAAGTTTGAGAAGAGTCATTATTGTTTTAACCCCCCCCCCCAAAAAAAAAAGAAACAAAGCGAAAAATAAACTAAAACCACACTTTTTATTTTGGTTCATCTATTCATATTTTTTTAACTTCCAAGCTCGGACACTTGAACTCCTGTACGTTGATGTCATTAAAACGTTTCAGCCGATCCATTCTGCGGCATTCTTCAAGTGAGTAAGCCTTAGAGAAAGTTCAATATCCCACCATCTGTAAAGAAGACTGGATCAGCCAAAAAGCTGTAGTAATATCAAAAACACAAGAGGAATTCAATTGTTTGAACAAAGCTTGGAGGTCTTCAGCGTTAGGACACTACAAATAAGCTTCTTTAAACTAAACAAGATTAAAGTATCTGCGAATAAGGTACTTGTAAAAATTGTCATAAAAAACTGATTAAGAGAAAAGCACGATTGGGTTAATATTTCGTCGTTAACTGGCATTGTCATCAGAACACTATTAAAAGAAATGGCGGTTTCGTTCCCAAATGAGAAAACTTATAACAGCGCAGTTGGATGAAAAAGAAGTGGATGAATGACTTATCTCTAGAATAGTAAAGATGAAAAAAGTTATTTGGTATTGCAATGTTTATTCACATCTCCATCAGATCAATATAAAATAACGAAATTGTCTGCACCAATTGTCAGCTGATTACCAATAAGAACATTATGTACAGCCATTTTGTTTTCATTACAGTACACTCTAAACAAAATGAACAGTTTACCTTTACATGTATTTTTTAACTAATTCACCCCAAGCAAGGCGATAATGCCGCTAAGACGCAAGGGGGTTGAAGAGAGTGAAAGAGAATTGCAATAAAATATTTCCTATGTAAAAACGATTCTACAAATTATAATTCGAATTCCATTCTTTTATTCGTGTTTCATTTCTTTATTCGTGCTTCATTCTTTTATTCGACTTCCAGTTTTTTTAATGTCACCAACTCTGAGCTTTGCAGTCCAAACCTACCAAGCTACATCCAAAGAGTTGAATCACCCTTTTTCCCCCACTGTATTTCTTTGGTAAGAAACAGGTTTCACTTAGAAAGCTTCTCTCCTAGGACCGTTTCTATGTGGAACCGGCTCCCTTGTGAATGCTTCCCGATCACTACAGTCTTAACCTCTCCAAGTCTAGGGTCAATCTTTATCTGTTCGTCATGTCATCGTAATCTTCAGTTCCGAATTTCTTCTATTACGTTCATATCTCACACAGTAATTGTCTACTTTGAGTGGCTCTTGGGCCCTTGTGTTGCGTCAACATTTAGTAAGAAAAAAGTTTAGTCTTTCACAATGTCACAAGTGTACGACACTCGATGCGAAATTGGCTTTACTTTTTTTACGCTACTTTATTAAATATAATAAAAAAACCCATCGATATAAACGAAATTTAAAGTTAAAATATTCAAAAGATAATTTAAATAAAATATTTTTATGTTTAAAACTTTAACCAAACTCATATTTGTTTTTAAATTTTGGGACAAAAGTTAAAAAAAATCAAAAAACAACTTATTGTTAAAATTACACCTTTAAGTGCTGATTCTAGGTGAGATGTCAATGTTGTTGCTCCCATGTCACTAGAAGTTTCGGGTCTAAAAAAAAAAAAACAGACTTCTTCGATGGTATTCGGCCCGCACCCAGATTAAATTTGCTACTAGCTTTAGGACGTGCTTTATATAAATTTCTCCAGAAAACGGCAACTAATCAAGTCTTCACTTGGGCTAGATCGCTTCTCGGCATTTTGGCTGAGATTCCATCACGGCTATGCCTATCTTGGACCGGCTCGGGTCTGGACCAGCTAGGACAAGCCAAGACCAGCTATGACTAGCTTAGACCAGCTCTGGCCAACTTGGACAAGCTAAGACCATGTAAGACCAGCTTGGACCACCGGCCTAAGTGAAAACACTCGGGTCCCCACGTTAAAAACCGACCTTGTGTCACAACCTTACTCAGTGGGGTGTCAAGTAGATAGTCCTCACTTGGGCTATTCGATGTTATAGATCGGGTATGCTAGGTTGTACTGATCTTCCTACATGCGGCCAAGACAGGGTGTTTTTTTTAAAAAAACAAACCAATACATACATTAATAAAATAAAAACGATTTATATTGGCTCGTCTTACGAATTACTTTTCTTTCTCTTCCCCCCTTTTAAATTCTTTATAATGTCTTACTTCTTTCTCTTTTTATAACTTTCCTTTTTATTCTTAACTACACTTAACAAAATGTTTACAATAGAGTGATTAAAATGACTTAGACTAATTCCCCCCCACCAAAAAAAAAGCAAGAAAGAAAAGAAAAAAAAAAACTCCTAAAATACGGTATGAATAATTTGGGATATTGATTGATACTCTAATAAATTCCGTTTAAAAACTAAGAGAAATAACATTTAACTAAAGTTGCTTAAAAATAAATTAATCAAGATACTTACATGTTAAATACTAGTTAAAAAAAGAAAATATAATAACGTGTAAATTTTAGTTAAAATAGGTTACTCCCAAAAATTATCCTTAATGGAAGAAATTTGCTTAAAAAACTAAGAGAAACAGCATAACTAAAATTGCTTAAAATAAATTAATCATCATATTTATTTACATGTTGAATAATAGTTAAAAGAAAAAATAACGTGTAAATTTAGTTAAAATAAGTTACTGCTAAAAATCATCCTTAAAGGAAACCGATTGAAAAACGAGTAAATACGACAAAAAGTCAGAAACGAAAAATGGGTAATGGTAAAAAAAAAAAATTGCAAGAAAAGAAATTTTTTTTTTTATCCCGTCATACATTTTCAAAATAAATCAAGGGTTTTGCTGTTTAAAGACAAACCCTGCTTTATATTTTTAAACTATATCAAATGTTTTAATCTATATCAAAGGTTTTAAACTATATCAAAGGTTTTAATCTATATCAAAGGTTTTAATCTTTATTCATCCAAATCTTTATTGCTGATGAGAAATAATCCACATGGCGAAGAGTTAATGTCATTTGTTTTATACAAAAATTCTTGATTCAATTAAAAAAAAAAAATTGAAGCAATTTGGTTAAAATAGCATCATTTAGATCAGTGGTTGGCAACGGTTTACCATGTGCCGACTTAGGGTTTTAAAATACAAGTCAAATCAATGTACCTGTTCTACAATATATTTTATATACAGTGTAACCCGGATATAAGAGAGTTGTCGGGACCGGAGAAGAAGTCTCTTATATCCGGGTTTGGTCTATATGTATACATTAACACAGGCTCTAATTTGGGACCAGAGAAAATCTCTCTTATATCCGGGTTTCTCTTATATCCGGGTTTCTCTTATATCCGGGTCTCTTATATCCGGGTTACACTGTAGTAATATATAGTATATATACTTTAGTATATATTAAAATTGAAACTGATAATTATCTTGTTGTAGTAGTTATTGGTTAGGACTTCGTGATGTCATTTGCAGCTGAGGGCAATTGGAAAAATGCTTGGCGTGCCACGTAGGTTGCTGGCCCCTTATTTAGATTATTTTAAGATCAGTCGTTGAAAACGGCTTTGAGTGAGTTAAGTATGCGGATCTTGGTGAAGACCACCAATTCTTTGACTCTTGTGGACAGACGCTACACAATCATAAATAAAGAACAGTACCAGGTAACAGAAATCGCACACCTTGAGGACTTTCAACAGTGGAAACAACTAAAATAGTTATCGCCTGTAACTCAAAAAGAAAACAATGACATAATCAAGATGTTGACATTCCACGCTACTACAAATAAAAGGTTAGGAAGGAAATCCCAATCAATACTGGAAAGAGCGATAACAGTTACTGGACTTGAGAAACCTAAAAAAACTGTTTTAAGAGAATGATTTTATCAGTTTCAACAGATAATAGCATTGGCTGCTCGGTCAATGAATTCTGAATGTTTCCTTATGAGGAAACGGCTAATATTACTATTACCAATCTCATAAATTGATTAGATTGATCATATTTTTGAGGTTACGATATCACAATACCCATGAGGATCAGAATCCCTGTGACAGAGAGAGTCTGGGAAAACACACACACACACACACACACACACACACACACACACACACACACACACACACACACACACACGTATTTTTTTTTAGTGAAATTGGAGTGGATTCGAACAGTGAAACTAGATCAGAGCATTTTTGTTTACTGATGGTGAAACCTGATCTAGGGCAGAAGCTGTGCACATTGGAACTGGGTCATTAGAAGACAATGGAAATGGTCGAAATAATTTGTATTGATTAAAACTTGGAATAGAGCTGAGTAAGCAAGGAGAACCTTGAGAATTCGCATGAGTTTGGTTGAAACAGCCAAAACTCCGTGACAATCACGTGCGAAGTAGTAGGGCCAAGGTTCAGTTGTAAACAGCCAGATTTTTTTTTTATATAAACGAGTAGTTATGCTGAAAAAGAGGCAGACGGAAGAGAGAGACAGAAGAGAATTAGTCCGGGCAAGAGTTGGACTAGCGACAGTGGAGAGTCGAGTTGGAGACTCAAGAAGGAGAGAAAGTGACGTCAGAGAGTGGAACAAAGCGTCCGTTAACATGTATTGTTGATGTAAGTATCGCTGCTTCTGCTACCACGAATATTAATACTACTGTTACTACTGCTAAGGAGGAACGACACTATAAACTTTAAACCGCACACAGAAATCTTATTCCCCCGTCGCAAGAATCGTATATCGTTTTGAGACGATTTAACAAGTTAATCATAACACACTCTCTTTCTGTCCAGAATCCAGTGTATGCCTTTTTACGTCAATTACTTTTCTTTCTGTAAACCGTTTCTTTTCTATACTATTCTTTTCTGCTATATAAAAGACATTAACAATTCAATCATTGAATAATTGTTTGTCCGGATTTCTGCAGATATTAAGTTTTTTTTCTTTTTTTTTTTTTTGCTGCATTCAAAATTTCTT